AAACCGGCGCACGAAAGTGCATGGTTAATGGTTGTTCAAACTGAAACTGAAACTGAAACATTTACAATGATGTGCGCCAGAAGTTGAGGTCAGCTCTAGACCGTACATTCCCAGCTGCTCAACTCAGGCTCATTACCTCCACTCGTGGAATTGATTTGGACATACCAGTTCCGTCTCACACTGTATACCAGTTCACCTACAGTTGCGGTGACGCATCCATAGGCAGAACAAATCGTCAGCTGTCACAAAGGATGGCCGAACATCTCAAAGTGGCCGTTGAAATCGATGACGCAAACGATGATTGATGGATGGTGATTACAAGAAATCCAGGGTCATTTGTTGCAAAACTTCTAATGGCAACAAGACACACAGCTGACTCCAATTCGTCTTTCACATCACTATTACGTAATCGCAATGCTAAACTTTTGGCGATTAGTGTAGCACTGGCTATTCGATTACATCACCCGACCTTATGCACACAAATGTTTTTGATACAATCAACCCCCTTATCGTGGATTTGACCTTCTACTTGTAAATTTAGTAATCTTTGTATGCTTGTACAGGTTCGTTCACCATAATTGATTACTCCCATGTGCTATATATGTGCCTGTTTGTTATAAGACAGCGACTGAGAAGAAATGTTAACATCTCGCGACATTTGTCTTCTTTCAGTTTTGAAGAAATTGATGAGAGAAACTCAATGGTTCAAATTTCTAATATTTATTTATCTAAGTAGAATTTAGTTTCAGCTTCTTTCAAGGTTCTTTAGATTTTCATAGAGAAAAAGTAATAGTTGTTAAAACATTTAATCAATAAATGTGTTTTTGGTGTTGTTTATAACAATCATGATGATAATGAAAACAAGGATGATGTTGATGCTGACAACAATGAAGGTGACATATTGTGTTGTTAGACAAAAAGAGTTGTTTACTCTTCCCGATCAGAAATAGAATGTCACGTTTGTTCCGGATGATGATGATGACGACGGGGATGATGAAACTAATGAACAGGGGGGGGGTATTAAGCGTGATCATACAAAAATGATCGTTTTCATAAAAACAGGAGATTTGATTGTGGACAATGCAGTGTTCTCCAATTCACTTCAATTCAGTGCGAGGAACGGAACGTTGAAGCAATATATAACAAAAGCAGGTAGATCACAGAAACCAGGCGTTGTTCGTCTCATTAACTCAGATTTGAAAGTGTGATTGACACAAAAAGATGAATTGGAAACTTCAATCACCGCGTATAGGTGATAAGAAAGCACGAGATTTGTGACTGATGGTGGCTGTATGAAGTACGTGGAATAGGTCGCATTTGGACTGTAGTGTACTCGATGATACGTGAGAAAGCTCGCTTTTTTTAATCCATCGTCGTTCCTCTTCTGGCTGGTTGTGACGCATCACAACCCGAGTCCGTGGACCAATCATTCGGGACCATTCATGACAGGGGATCCAGCTTGGTCGTGGGACTACACGTGATCCGGGTGGAAGAATGGAGCTGCTGGGACTGTAGAATGTATTAAAAATGATCGTCTTTATTGAAAGAAATTAGTTGATGTAGATAGTTCATCTATTCATTCACAAGAAATGGATTTAAGATAACACTAAAAAAGATTTGATGCCGTAAGAAAAGGTTAGCTAAAGGAATGAAACTGAAGGGTGCTTGAAAGTAAGTTACTGAAGGGAGCATTGAGTAGTTTGGGGAACTATTCATCGCGCATTTATGGCTGTATCAAATCAATATGCAAAGTTAATTCTGTATGCAACTCACAGCTTTGGTAGTTTTAAATGCATTTTTGGTAGATCCGGTAGTTTGGTAATTTTTCGTTTTGGTTCTTTTTTTGTCTCATGTTGTTTTTCCGGATCCTGTTTGATTTTTATTGCGAGCTCCGGCAAATAAGAACGGAACGAGCTGACACCACTGCTGGTTTCTACGTATACTTCACCGCTCACAATATCGTATTGTTGTTGCTGTTGCTGTTGTCCTCTTCTGGAAGTTGAGCTGGGGGAGGGGGACGGGATGGGATGGGATGGGAGTGAGCGAATCGAACGAAATTGATCTGATGGTTGATATTGCCACGTTAAATAAGAATATTTATGTGAGTTTTGTTCTTTTTACTCGATCCCAAACTCTTAAACTTGCAAAACAGTAAAACATGAGCAATAGTATTGGCGGAGTAGGACAAGGAAGTGAGATTGCATAGTATAGATGGTATTTGGTCTATGTGTTCTAGCGTATCACTCTTGGCTTATCTATAGTAGGCCGTGAAATTTCGAAACGGTGAAAATAATTCCCGTTCAAATAAACAATGACATGATGAGAACAGCGACTAAAGTAAGGTGCTGTGGTGAATCAATGATTGCTATCCAGACAGTTG